TTCTTTTCTTTCTTTTCTTCTTTTTGGCTGACTCTCCGCCTAGATCAAAGTCGAACCGGACCTGTTCTACGAGGCTTGCGACCGAATGGGCATCATGGTGGTCCAGGACATGCCCAGCCTACCGGACGACACGGAGCGGAGGCCGCCCGACGCGATGCAGCAGGACGAGTTCCAGCGGCAGCTGGAGGCCATGGTCGACAACCACAAGAGCCATCCCTCCATCGTCGCCTGGGTCCTCTTCAACGAGGGCTGGGGCCAGTTGCGGCACCCGCCGTGGTTCGAAGCGCGGCTCACCCCCGTGGTGCGGGCTCTCGACCCGACGCGGTTGATCAACGCCGTGAGCGGATGGTTCGACCACGGCTTTGGCGACTTTTCGGTATGTCTGGAGCCCCTTGTTACGGACTGGACCCTGGGAAGAACGGAGGAAGATATGGATATCAATCTGACAGGGAGTTCCGGAATCTTTAGGACAATCACCACTACCCGACGCCGCAATGCGGCACCCCGTTTGCGACGCCGCCCTCGTCGGCATACGATGCCAGGCGGATCGGATTCCAGGGCGAGTTTGGCGGGATAGGCCTGAACGTCTCGATTGAGCAGTATGTGTTGTGGTCTCTTCGGGTTTCCTTTTTTTCTCCCTTTTTTCTCCTTTTTTTTTCCTTTTTTTTTCCTTTTTTTTTCCTTTTTTTTTCTTGTTTCTTTTTTTACTTCCCCCTCTCTCTAACGCCGCAAAGCCTCTGGAACGTCCCCGAAGCCATCGCCACCATCAACCAGACGTACGAGCTGGCGGCCGACAGAGCGGCCTACAACGCGCGGTCGAGGGAGCTGTTCGGCATGCTGCGGTCCCAGGTCGAGCAGTACGCCTGCAGCGGCGGCGTGTGGACGCAGACGAGCGACGTCGAGGGCGAGGTCAACGGGCTTCTGACCTACGACAGACGCTTGCTGAGGCCGGAGGTTGCGCAGTGGAAGGAGGACACGCGGAGCGTGTATGAGGCGGCGGCGGCCCGGGGGGGTTGGGGGGGCGGAGATGGTCTACGTGGTGGTGTGAGACATCAGCAGCCTCTTGGATGAACTGCACAGGGACTCTGGGATACTCTGCGGTATTCCAGGACAGGACGGAGGAGTGGCCAAAAATGAAAATACAATTGAACTGCATCGTTCCTTGGTGCTGTCAACGCCACGAGGGCTTGGCCTCTTTGATTCGTCGTATCCGTCCATCTTGTCTGGTCCATGTCATGTCACTTGCAGCTACCTCTGTGATTAGATCGATCAATGGGCTTCGGGTTCCAAGGAAGAGGGAGGGATTCCTCGAAGGATTCCTCGGCGGGCCCGAAGAAGAGAATGCGCCGCTTTCGCCAAGAAAAGAAAATAAAAGCAAAGAAAAGAAAAGAAAAGAAATTACTCTTCGTAGCATCAAAGTCAAGTCTTGGTTCATCCATGCCTGCTGTCAGATCCCGCTGTCATCCAATTGCCATCCCATCCCTCCTGTCTTCTCATATCCAACATCACCATCCCCTCCTCGCCCTTCGCCCATCTCCAGTCCCGCCTCCGTCGTTCGTCCGTGCCTCTCCCCCGACTTTACCTCTTCAATGAACAGGGCCATTGGCCAAGAAGAACAACCCTATGGCTGTCTACCCCTACCAGACCCTACACCACAGCTTCCCTTGTCCCGCCCCTCGGCGGATCACCAACTGGGATGACATACCACCAACACCAACCGACTACCCTTTAATCTCAAAACGTTATCTTGCGTACGTTGTACTTTATACCATCGCCGTCTGTGTCGTTGGCTTCCCCTTGTCTTCTAGACCTTCTAGTGCCTTTTGGCTCATCTGTACGTGTAGTGTAGACCAGTTAGTCCCTCAGCCCTCCAACCGGGGGGGCCCCTTGACCGTAACGTCGGGCTGCCCTGTCCTAGTATTCGTCAACGTGCCCCCATCCCCCCCCCCGTATCCTTCGAAAGAAACGCACGTCTTCTCGCCTATCTTCTGCTACCTAGGCATGATCACCATCATCCACCCCCTCCTCACTCACATGTTTCGTACACACCGAGTCCCCACCATCCCACACCCACACATACACCTCCCCACTCTTTGCTCACCTCTTGGCGAACTTGGATATGTTAGTCGATATGAACTTTGGTAGATACTCGTACGGAGTAGGTAGGGTAGACCTCGCGGTTGTTCGGTGCCTAGGATAGTCCCCCGGTCAGCGCCGCAGCGCCGCATCGCCGGGACGTCTATTCTCTCCTCACCTCACGTCTCTCTCTCTCTCTCTCTTTCTCTATTCCCATTCCCACTCCCACTCCCTCCCACTCCCATTCCCATTCCCTCCCTCTCCCTCCCCCGTTCTCCTTCCTTTTCTGCTTTTATCCTTTTCATTACTCCGCATAGACCACATCCTACCGACACGCAGCGCAGAGTGATCGACACGACCCCTTACTTCCTCTTCCGCATCGTCCCGAACCCCCGGGTTTTCATTAGCTCTTGCATACTTTCGTCTAGCTTCGCTTTTTTCCTTCTCTTCTTCTCTTTTTGACCAGAGGAAAAAAGGAATAGTCACACGCGGGGGGGAAACCCGAGGGAAGGCAACGGAACAAAACAACAAAAAAAAAAAAAAAAATGGCCGTAGACGTCGAGGAACTCATCCTCACGCCGTTCCGCGAAGTCGTCGCCCGCGGTCAAGATGCCGCCGCCCACGCCGCCGCAGCGCAATCCGACGACCCGGACCTGGCCCGTCGCATGGACAAGGCCTCGCAAGCCGTCATCCGCGAAGGGGAGCGAGCCCTGAAGAAATTGCAGCCGCAATGGGACGCGCATGTCGCAAAGTACGGCGAGGCTTTCAAGGATGTCATCCGGGAGAACCGTAAGCTAAATCACTAACCCCCTTCCCCTAACTCCTCGGGAAAGGCTGTAAAAAGAAGAAGAAAAAAGAAGAAGAAAAAAAAGGGCATCCCGAAAGGCCAGGGAAAGACTAACGACCGGATTGCACCCGACAACCAGACGAAATCGCAGAGAAGCGTCGCACCCTCGAAGAACTCCTCTACGACTTCGAGGACTTCATCGACCCCGACTCCTTCGACCCCGCAAAGTTCTCCGACCTGCAAGCCGCCACCAAGTCCTTCGCCCTCGACGCCCTCGACATCATCCGCCGTCTCAAGGTCGAGTCCAGCCTCCCCTTCTCCCCGTCCGACTACGCCGACTCGATGCCGCCGTCGCCCTCTTCTTTCCCGTCCCTGCCTCCCCTGCCTCCCCTGCCGCCCTCGCGAGCTGCTGGCGCCATGCCCCTGGTGCCTCGCAACCGGACCTTCTCCACCGACACCTACAGCACCCGAACTGGCGGTGCCGGCTCTTCCAGCGCCGACTCGGTCATTCTGTCTCCCTCCGACAGCGTGCGCAGCCTCTCCCAGTTCCCGCAGCTGCCGATTTCCCACCCCGCCACCGCAGGCCGGACCGCCGCCGAACCCACCCCCACAGGCCTCGGGATCGTCGGTGGCAGCGTCCGTGCCGTCTCCGTGACAAACAGCACCAGCACCGGCACCAGTCGGCAGCCGTCCCAGCGCATCTCGCACCTGCACCGCACCGCAACCACCACCAGCTCGCGCGCCTCGACCGTCCCCAACTTCTCCCAACCCCCGCTGCCCCCACCACAGGCCCCGCTGCCAACTCCGCCGCCCTTGCGCTCGCAATCGGGCGCGTCTTCGGCCTTCGGTGTCCTGCCGGCATCTGGCAGCCCGGACGCCCTCAACCACCATTTTGACCGCGTCCGTCTCGACTCTGACGCCCACCATGAATCCTTCCTCGACACCTCGTCCACCCTGACCGCATCGCCCCGTACCACCGCCTGGGTGAGCGACCAATCCGCCACCACCGCAGTTCTACCGCCGCCGCCGCCGCCGCCGCCGCAGCAGCAGCACCAGAACCGCGTCCCTCCTGCCCAGACCTCCTCGTCTGCGTCTGCCGGCCCGCTCAGGGGCCACTCCATGTCCGCAGCGTACCGCTCGACAATGCCAGGCACCGGCGACTCGCCCATCCTCCACGACCGCGCCTTCCAGGTCCGTTCCACGAGCTACCACCCCTCCAACCACCACCATAACCACCATAACCACCACCACGATCCGACGACGAGCCGCGCCTCCTCCGGCTCCTTCTACGACGAACCCTCCGCCACCAGCCCGACCACCACCAACCGCGGCTCGCTCTTCTCCGACAACGCCTCCGCCTCCGCCTCGACCTCCTCGGCCCTGTCCCATCCCGGCCTGGCCGCCGGCGACAAGGACCCCGCGCCCTTCCACGCCGGCCTGACCACCGTCGGCGAAGTGGACGACGGCCTCATGCTCGCCGACGAAACCCACTCCACGTCCGATACCGTCGTGACCTGGACCCATCGCCGTTCCGCTTCGTCTGCGTCCGCGTCCGCGTCCACGTCCACCGTGCCCGGCGGTCGCGGCGCCGCCCGCGCCCCGCCGCGTCGGCCGGATTGTCTCATCGGGCCCAGCAGCTCGTTCCATCAGTTCAGGGGCTTTTGCGCCGGTGCCGAGGCTTTCCGCAGGTCGGGACATGCCGAGGGCATGAAGAAAGCCCCTTCCTATGTGAGTCGAGTCTGCCGAATGTACGCGAGCGAACTATACTGATACCGGAGGAAACTGTAGGGCGAGAACACTGCCGTCGGAAGGTGTACGAGCTGTGAATATTACCATGTGTATAGCGACATTTCCCGAGATTTGTCCCGAGACGGTACGCCTCCCCTGTCCCCGGCTCCCATAGAATATCTTTTCCTGGCCCCCTTCACGTTCTCCTGCCTTTTCTTCCTGTCCGAACTAACCCAAGCGGCGCGCCCTTTTACTCTGCCATCCAGCCCACGCAAACCAAATGAAGTACAACGTCTTCTACCGCATTCGGTTCATGTTCAAGTCGCACATGATGGTCAAGTCGCTCTCCGAACTCCGCTATGCCTGTCTCTTCTGCACACAGACCGGCCACACCGTCCGCGAAGGCGACGCCACCGTCTTCCTGTCCCAGGAGCAGCTCCTCCGCCATCTCTCCCGCCACCCGCAGCCTCTCCCCGAAGTTCCCGGCGTCACCGTCCTCTACGGCAAGGCAGGCCACGGCCACGGCCACAGCCTCGAGGAGGACTACGACCTGCACTTCCCGGACCCGCCGGCCCCGACCCCCATGCCGGAAACGTCCTTCAGCACCCTGCCCACCGCCACGGCCGTGAGGTCCCACGTGCGGAAACCGGGCGACATGAGACCCCCGACCGACCCGGACGGGTCGGAGGACATCCTCCAGTTCCTGCCGGGCGCGCGCATCGTCGGCGTCGAGTTCCCTGCGAGATGGGGCGGCAACTGGTGCATGGGCTGGCACGACGGCGTCCGCGCGGCTTTCCCGTTCAAGCACGTCGAGATCGACCGGCCCAAGCCGAGCGAGATCTCGTACAACGCGAACAGCAGCGTCTCCGTCAAGGCGCGGTGGAAGTGGAGCCCCAAGCTCGGCAGCGACGAGCCCCGCTGGTTGCCTCTCGAGAAGGGGGACTCGATCCGCAACGTCGGTTGTAAGTCGACACCGTTTGACGGCGAATAACATTCTGTCGCTGACTCGGATATAATAGGGGTTTATCAAGACCACTGGTGCTGGTCTGGCACCAACAGTAAGGGCAAGACGGGTGTCTTCCCGTCGTCGCACATCGACCCTGTATCTGTTCGAGAGGTCGTAAAGCCCGCCACCAGCAAGCCACCGTCGGTCAAGTCGATGAAGCTGTCGTCGGTGAAGCAGTCGTCCGCCATTAGGGGGCTGATGGGCCGGAGAACCATCCACAGGGCCAACGACCCATCTCTCACGTGGGAGGGCGTGGCGGCGCAAATCAAGTTCCCCACGCAGCCCAGGTAAGAGGCTTGTACTTTCTTAACTTTCTATGGGCCAGAACTCGGCTACCACTCGCATGAGCTCGTATGAAGGCTGTACTGTATGTACCATCATCTCTGTATAGGCGAGGCGTTGGCGTAGGGAGTTTTGGCAACGGTGATTCTCTTTGAACGGAAGGAAAGGCTGGACGATAGATATCCAAGTTTTGAGACTGAGGCGCAACGGGTCGGTGTCGGCGCAATGTGGTCGGGTTCGCGCTTTTCTTTTTTTCCTTTGTTGGAGGCCATGTTTGGTTGCTCAGGGGAGTCTTCCGAAATCACTTTGTCGTCGATAGAGCACGGGAGGACTCTGATAGACGGACACCAGCACTCGGTTCTGCGTGTTCCTTGCTGTAACTTTCCCCTGTTTCGTCATTCCTCTCGATTGGTGGCCTTACGGCGGCGGGTAGAAAGCCAGAGCAACTCTTATTCTATCTATACACAGTCAGGGATCAATTTCATTTGTACGCAATTCAGGGGGACTTGCCTTGGAACCATTGAACCGATGCAAGTCAATGCTGTCCGAAAGTCGATCCTGATGCGTTCAATCGATGGGAAGCCCATCGTAGACCACATGCATATTTGGCAAATAGAATCCAAAGAAAGGACCCATCACTTAAGAGTCACAACAACTTCAAGACAGCTCATCTTCCTCACGCGGGCGTCGTCTCCACCAAACTCGTCACCCTCAACGACGACATCATCCACCGTCCCGACCGTCTTGGTGCGGACTTGGACAAGACAGTCGCCCTGGGCCATAAACCAGCTGGCGACCTGGAGGGTCTTCTCGACCGCCTTGCCCGTCCCCAAGACGATGACCTCGCACTTGGCCGAGCCATCGGCATTGCCGCCGCGCGTGCCGCCGTCGCGGTGGAGCATCTCGACGCGCTGCGCCAGATTCATGCCGCGGGTCGATGGGGCGCGACCCTGCAGGGACTTGTCGAGCCGCTTGCGGACGCGGTTGACGATGGCCATGAAGGGAGTTGACGTTGAGACGTAGACGAGGTGGGACTTGGAAGAGGCGGGTTGTTGGCGTCTGGGCAACGCGCGTTTCTGAATCTTGAAGCCTGGGAATGGAGCACGGTCAGGACAGGGCTGAGTGGGGCGAAGGGCAAAAATAAGAAGAAACTAGTCAGACCTTCAGGTAGTTTAGGCAACTTGTTGATTTGAGGAGCCGACTGGTTCTTGGAGCTTCCCAAGGAGGCCTGAGCGGGTGATTGCTCGACTGGACGGTTGGTGGGCGCCATGCCAGGCAACGAGATTACCACCAGCCTTTGTATATTGAAACGTGTGCGATGTTGTTGAGCAGACAACAGTGAGGTTTCAGGGCGGTAGTTTAGACGATGGATAGTGATGTCTTAGCGAAAGATGCAAGGAGAATGAATGCCATACCGTTGAAAGCTTGGAGTTGGTGAGGTGACACGCCTTGTCCGTTGATAATGAGGGTTTGGAGGGACGTGAGAGGAAAAAGAGGAATGATATGTAGGTAGGTACCTAATAAGGTAGGCACTGTACGTACCCACCATTCGAGGGAAGCTACGAGAGGGACATAGGTACCTACTCCAAACTGCCCCGCCCAGTGTGACTGTGACTGACGTCAGCTACAAGGTACCGTACCGAAACAGCATTCTACCTACCTAGTACCTACCTAGGTACTTCGTACGTAATCAAGAGTCGCATCGCAGGCAGGCATCCGAATAAACGACACCAAATACGGAATCCGTGACAATCACAATCAAGACGCTCCCTACACAACACTACGTCTTCGAAGCTTCTGTCAATTATTCTTCCCCCTTTGAGTATCGCCAATTGCGACACGCCTCAACTCCCCGGAGAATGGCTGCCTGCATCCCACTCTGAGCCCGCGCTTCGCCAGCCCCGAACTGCCAGATCGCCAGATTAACCGCCATGTCTATGGGCATCTGGCCACCTCTATCCCCCGACGAGCTCAAGATCAAAAAGGAGGAATCTCTCGTAAGTTATCTGTCCCAGTATATATTCCTTCTCAGTCGGCCATTGCGATCCGTCATTCCCTTTGTCATCTTCATCTCAAACCCCTTCCGGTGTCGTCCCGCGTCGTCCCGCGTCGTCAGATTCTCTTCGTACGACCTTATACCGCCATGACCCAGATTGGACCTAGCCTCCACAGTGACCTCTTCGAGCCTCCCCCCCACCGGAGACTGTCTGATGCCTCTGTCGGTTCCATGGTGCTAATTGAGCTCTCCACCGGCGTCAAGGCCCGCGAGATAGCATGGATCCTCGAAGATACTCGCGAGGTGATCCACAACCTCAAGAATGGCCTCGATGAATGCTACGCCCTCCTAGCCCCAATCGACCCGGGGGTCACCCTGGCCGTCAGCTCTCAGCATGACGAGAAGGTCAAGGGAGTCATGACTCGGCTTGGAACCCGCATCGTCAAGGCCGTTAGTTCCTCCCCTCCCTCCCCGTCCTCGCACCTCCTCTCTTCCGGCCCCTAATCGAAAAAAGACAACGACTAACACGAAGAGGCCCACCCCCAGAGAATCGCCCTCCGGCTCCAAACCCTTCCACACCAGACCCTCTCCCTCGACCCCGCCCACCCCATCCACGTCCCCGCCCTCGAAGCCATCCAAACCTACCTCAACGAATCCATCAACCTCCTCTCCCTGAGCCTCGACCACCCCTCCCCCTCCCCCCGTCCCCTCGCCGACCACCTCCGCGTCCTGTCCACAACCCTCGCCTCCGCCTCCTTCCTCCTCGGCGGGCCCAACGACCCCATGCTCCTCGCCCACCCCAAACCCAGACCCGACATCGACCCCATCATCTTCTCCTCCTGGCTCTCCGAGTCCTGCCCGCCCGTCCACTTCCGCCCCGCCCTACCCCCGTCCCTCTCCGTCCACCTCGCCCTCGACAACCGCGCCCTCGTCCTCGCCCTCCGCGCCCTCGCCCCCGCCGACGCCCCCGTCAACCTCGGCACCAAGCTCGGCCTCGCCCTCGGCGTCGTCCGGCCCCTCGAGCACGACGAGATGAACCTCCTCTGCCGCTTCAGCTACAGCCGCTTCACCGACAGCGGCGGCGGGAAACACGTCCACCCCGCCGACGGCGTCATCCGCCGCCCGATGGCCCAGGGGGAGTCCCCTCCAGCGGCTGCTGCTACTGCTGCCGCTGCCGTCGGTGCTGCTGCTGCTGCTGTCGGTGGTGGTGCTGGTGGCGCTGCTGCTGCTGCTGCTGCCGCCGCCGCGTCTTCCACTCGCGGCCATGGCCACGGCCACGTCGATGAGCGACAGCAACGCGACGTCTTCGTGAGGGAAAAAGTCACCATCCGCGTGGAGGATGCGAGCCTGCATATCCTCTGGGCCAAGCTCGCCGCTCTACGTAGGACATTGGCCCGCGCTAGGGAGAACCTGGCCGCCGTCATGGGGGAGGAACTGCACGGTCGTGAGGCTTGGGGGGAGGTGTAGTTACAAATCGCGGCACTGCCGTGGAGGATGCATGTACGAGTGCTGCTACCTTTTTCGGGTAAGACAAGCAAAAATAACAATAGATACCCTACCGATTTGGAATTTAAAATATGAGAACATTTTGAGATTAGACATGGATATCCCCGTGGATACAGTTTCCGGGCAAATAAATATTCCTTTTGACGATTCTTGTCTGGAATTCCGCGATGCAATACCTATCGACCCTCTCCAGCCTGCCCTGCGCCGCTGGAGTTACAGGACTATACATACAGATAGATGGCCCGGTACAAACCGTCAATCCATGCCCCCATGTGGATGCGGAAAACCATGAACCATGCCTCAACAAAGGGAAAGAAAAAAAGAAAGGTCCAAACTCAAAAAGATCCATGGTATCGACGCTGGCCATACAATAAAACATGCAAGCCGCTTTGCATTGTGTTCAGATGTAGCCGAGTCCCCTTTGCAATGTGTGCAACCCAACCCCCCCTTTTTTTTCCCCCCAACCTCCATTGGTTTCCAACGCTCAAGTTGCAGTGAAGCAAGTTGTTAAGAGCACACAACTCGATCCACCAATGGTGAAAAAAGACGCTTGTTTCTTTACGCCACGGGCGACCAGGGCAGAGGCACGAGAATGCGAGACTTCATGGTCTGGATGAGCGGCACAGTCTTGTGGACCGTCTGGCTCCAGCCCTCAATCTCCCAGCTCTGCTCGCGACGAATCTTGCGCTCCTCCAGGTTGGCAAACTGCCACAGGTGATGGACGGTGTTGAGGTCGCCGATCTGGACGAACCAGGCGCCGACGCCCTCCATGACCTCGCGCCGGGCCTTGAGGCCGCGCCGCCAATGCGTCTCCCACTCGAGCAGGTTGCCCGGGTGCAGAGTGTAGGACCGCAGCTCGAAGATGCCGCCGAGCTTGCGTGGCGGCGTCGTGGGCCAGAAGGAAAACTCCTGCATGAGCGACTTGTTCTTGGACACGATGAGGCTCCTCAGCTTCCTGTCAATCTCGGCCGACTCGGGGTGGCTGGCGATGTTGTGGATCGACTCGTGGTAGCCCTGGTATCTCTGGTACTCCCAGATATGAACTGTGACGTGGTGGGCCGGGGGTCAGCATTGGTGGTTGTGGGCCGTGGTTACATAAAAAGAAATGGAAACATCGAGAGGGAGAGAGTGAAAGAGAGAGAGAGAGAGAGACAGAGAGAGAGAGAGAAACACGACAAAGACATACCAAAAGTGCTGCAGTCACCGACTTCCGTTCTCCAGCTCCCGACAAGATGAACCTTATTCTCGGGCAAGGAGGCCATCTTGGGATACCAGTAACCCACAAGGTCGACGTACTCCTCAACCTTGTCGGGCCTGACCTCGTGGAAGGTGATGGTGTGGACGTACTTCCCACGAGCCAGAACCTGGCTAAAACTGGCGGCAAGCTGGGCATCGAGCTCACGGCCCTCCTTGGTGCCGTAGATGAGGTTGGTCAAGGGACCCGCCTTGCGCGGGGGGTCCTGCACCTCGGCTTTCTGCTCTGCAGTACTCTTCAGTGAGCCCACGGCCTGGTCTTTGGAAAAACCAGTGGACGCGGCGGGGGACGAAGAGGAAGAGGGAGAGGGAGAGGGAGAGGGAGAGGGAGAGGAAGAGGACGATGCATCTTCGGACCACGCACTTGCTTCCCGATTCTTCTGCTGCTCCACCAATTGCTTCCGGAACTCGCTCTGCCTTTTGTTGAACAACTCGACCGTGTCGGGGGCGGCGCTGTCGTCGGACATGGACGACACCTTGTTACCCTGCTGAGCAGTGGTCGCGAAGCTTCGCAGTGCCAAGCGCGGGGTGGCCACACCGGCGACTGCTCGCATCGCTCGCTGACCCAGCATGATGATCAAGATGCGTCGGATTTGTCGTTGGTCGAGAGGTGGCGGTAGGTATTGGATAAAGGATGGCTGTGCACCTTAATTATGTAGGCTGCCGTGGTCTCGGAGGAAGAATGTCCGGTGTGTAATTATGCAACAGTCGCTGAAGAACCGCAAATGTCTTTGCAATCCAACAACAGAACTGTCGAGGTCGATATGGACAGCGAGGGGACGTTGTTTTGTTGCCAAGGCAATGAGTTGGTCCTAGGTACGCCCGAGGGCGGAAGGTCGAAAGAGTACAGAGTTGGAAGGCGGAAGGCAGGCAAAGAGAGTTCCGAGGAAGCAAGAGGGGTTCCCTTTCACAAGGTGTGGTAAGTGTGTGTGCGTGTGCGTAGTGTGTACCCGTGTGTTACAGGTCACAGGCCACAGCAGAAGAGAGGGGAGCAAGCTGCGGGTTGGTTAGATCTGACGCCTTTGGAGGGCGGACAATCAGAGTAATTGGCTCGACTTGGGAAGGCGAGGAGCTGCACAATTAAGGGAAGCACACCCAGCACTTTCGGGTAGGATTGTCCTCGTCGTACTTGTAATATCAGAGTGGTTAATATAGCAGAGGTAAGGTAACCCCAGGTAGTGTCGAAACAAAAAAGGCGAAAGTCAAATAGACAAAGGAGGGGGAAGAAAGACTGAAAGGTCGACGTTGGTAGGTTGAAGGCCGAGTTGGAGGAGAGGTAGCGACTTGGGCTAAAAGGAAGAGGGAGGGAAGGAAATGAGGGAGGGGAAGCGGAAGCACAGGTCAAGCCATGGTCTGGGGTAATGTACATTGTAATGTGCCCTGTGTCGCATGAGCTCATGTGGGGCCGATCTACTTCACAGGGCCTGCCTTGGAAGTCACGGAATGCGGAGAAACAAGTGGGGCACAAGCCATGAAGGTCATACCGTTGGTTGATGGACCTATTCTGCCGAAGATAATCCGTCTTCGTAGTGGTACGTTATTACTCGGTACCTTACGTACTCCCTCCCCTTTCGGTTCTCCCCTCATTGTCTTAGTCATTGCATGCTGACTCATGGGATAAATTCATTTTGCCTAAGGCAACAACTTCCGGCTACCGGGCTAGGGGCGGAAGAGGCATCGGAGGAAAAAGGCTCGTCAGGATAGCTTCACATTTCAGACCTGATTCCAAAATCAACCACCGCCCAAATCGACCCCGCCAAATCCGTCGTCACCCAAAAACCCCGAAAAATCACAACCGCCAAGATGTTCTGGTTTGGTGCTACCCCTCTCAAGAAGTTCCCGGCTCCTGTCCGTACGTCAATTGTCCCGTCCCCGACAACCCGATCGCATTCCGCCCTTTCGGTACCCGCTGACAAGTTCTACAGTGAAGCCGATGGCCCCCTTCTTCGCTGCCGGTATGACTCCATAGAACGATAAGCTTCCCACTGCTTTTATTGCGCGCAAAAAAACAGGCGCGCACTGCGCTGTTTCGTTCGATTTTCGCAGGGCAGCCCGTGGATGGATGGTAGGAGACAGGACGTTGACACTTGAGGACAGGCCTGGTCATCGCCTACGGTATCAACTCGGCCCAGAACGCCATGATGCAGAGTACGCCCCGCCTGGCCTCCTTCCCTGACGATTCCAGGAAACGGCACAAAAACTGACACAAGACTCGATGTAGCCGACGAGTGGAAGAACGATCCTCGTAACCCGAACGCCAAGAGCGGCCACTAAGGAAAACAAACCATCTGTTCTTTGAGGCGAGCGGAGGTTGAGATAATTGGGGGGAGTGGTCTCGGAGGGAGTCGACGCGGCACGATTGGGAATACCCATACCCCATGCATACATGCGTGCGCTGATGACTATCGAGAGCGTACGCCGGTGGCGGACTGTATCATAGACAGGCGACACTTGTTGAATCAATTGAGCTGTTGCATTTCATTGCATTACATTGGATTGCATGTGGCTGTTTGGCATCGGTGGTCCATATCACGGCGTGACATGGAACGAACCTCTTACCCACAAAGGAGGCTCCATTGCATGAGGGACAACCGTCTCGACGGGCATATCGTTTCTTCATGGCCTGTCAACTTGCGTCCCGCCCCTCGGTATCAAGTTCTCCCATCCGTTGGTTTGAAACATGCCGATGCGAATCTGACAATATTTAGGGGAATGCCCACCTGTCCTAGATTGGACACAAGCGACACTCAACAAGAGAAATGTCGTGGGAGGGCTCCATTCCATTACATCAAAACTCTAGAACGCCACACATTACGACGAACCAGAGAGTGGCGTATCGTAGAAAGTTTGTACTTTCAGCCTCGCCATGTAATTAACTTTTGTTTTGTTTTTAATTTTCCCAATATCTTGTCATCTAGTCCAACGCCACCACCCATACCACAGCACGTGCTGTACGTCTCTTGCCTGTCTATATAAACCCGGGAGGGGGGAAAAAATCCCACCCAGTCCGCTCTTCTTTCACTCCCTCGCCTTATCAAAAAGGTAAGTTCAGGCCTCAGTCTTACTTTTTTTCATCATCTCCGAATCCCTTCCGTAGGGCCAATCGGTACATCGTCCGATGAGAATCTTGTCGGGGACTTTTTTCCCCGGTACATCGTCTCTCAGCAGAGCGCCCATTAGCTCCGGCGTCGTCAAGACAAGCCCTGGGTACTTGCTAAGATGTGTTAGATCGTAACAAGTATTTTCATCATCGGCCACGGGGATCGAACAGTGAACCTTTCAAACGAAAGGCAAACGGGCTCGATTTACCCATTGCACCACGGTGCTCTCTGTATTGAGGTACGTTTGTCTTTTCCTCCTCATTTAAAGGTTCATTGCAGGACGCGGAGGGAAGGACTGATGGGCGAGTCTTTCCACATTGAGTGACCACTGTGGCTAATGTAGAGGGACATAATAGTTGGCGATACCCCGTGTGCCCATACTCCCATCTCCGACAGGCTAAGGCTGCGGAGAGACGGGGTGACAAGTACAGTACACGGGTGCTGAAAGTTGGGACATGGGGGATTGGATACATCTGGGGGAATGGATACATCTGGGGGAATGGATACATCTGGGGGAAAGACCGTGATGAGAACTGCTTGACTGCAGCCCGGGCCGCAAGGTTCTGGGTCAGGAGCCCCTCCGTTCGTGAGAAGAGGTTTCGTGCAGGGGCAAAGATTCTGAGTCTCTTTTCTTTTCTTCCTTCTTGTTTGGTTTCGGCAGCCCAAGTGTCTTGCCCGAACAGTCCGGGCGAAGGACAGTCTTCTTTCGTGTCTGGAAATGCAGCCTTCGAGTTCTCCAGATAAGACTTTTCTTGACGGATCTTATACAGAGGCTAGAGATCTTTCACAAATTCCAGGTAGCATGGCTTCCCTTGATGACAGGAGACGGACAAACTGCCACTGTACATTCTAGGTCGAAGGTGATGTGCGAGGGCTTCACGGAGAGATTCGGTACGTCGCTTAGAGACGAATGACGTGGAACTCCTCTGGGTAACGTATTCAGCATAAGGTAGGTAGAAAGTATAGGAACTGGATTCATATTCTAGACGAAGTATCTGGAAGTAATGTGCCCCAAGGTACAAAGCTCGTAATGAAGTTGAGGAAGGTAGTTGGAACGCACGGACCACTACATACAACTGCTAGCAAACCTCCAGTCTGTGCCGGGGATATGCGGGGATTACGGATCCCTATCGCTGGGTCGGCATAAAATACGTATGTACCAACCTCCGTACGTGATGTGATATTCGATCGAACGCAAAAGACCAATAGAACCACCACTCTCCTAAATTGTCCCAGGAGAACAACCCACTCTGATGCCCGTCTTTGGAGGCTCCTGGTTTAGCACACTCTCATTTACGTCTATTAGCATCTCGAGATCGTCTCGTCTTCAGCTTTCATTTACTCGTTTTGTCATCACTTCAGTGACTTCACCCACATCCACCTTCGTGAACTCCAGGTCCAACATCAGAATGGCAAGCATAGATCCCAACGGCGTCCGGGAGAGAGATCCCCCAGCCAGAAACAACTCCAAGGCGAGCAACAAAAAGGACTTCAAAATACTCATGTTGCACGGTACGATTAGCTTCATCCAGTAAACGTCTTACATTACAAATACGGCCTTACCCTCTCCAGAACCTAGGCCTCACTCACTCTCACCCTTCACCTGAGCCCCTTAACCGACATCACATAGCTCTACTCTGCCCAAAACTCTCCCCATGGACATTGACCTAACCATAACCACAGGCTACACTCAATCCGGCCCCCTCTTCCGCTCCAAGACCCGCGCCCTCGAGAAACTCCTCGCCAAAGCCCTCTCCCCCCTAAACATCACCCTAACCTGCCTCTACCCAACCGCCCCCCTCCGCCTCAACGCCCGCGACATCCCAGGCTACGTACCCCCAGGAAGCGGAAGCGGCGACGACGACGACAGCAGCCGCCACCACCCAGCCGAAGAAACCGACCCAGACGCCTGGGCCTGGTTCCGCCGCCGCGACGGCCCGGGCCCGGACCCGGAAATCACCTACGCAGGCATCGACGACGGCATGCGCGCCCTCGCCTCCACCATCCGCGACGCGGGCGGCGTAGACGGCGTCGTGGGCTTCAGCCAAGGCGGCGCCATGGCCGCCCTCGTCGCCTCCGCCCTCGACGACGCCCCGCACGGTGACCGCGTCCCCCCCGCCCCCCACGCCGGCTGGGCCGCCGCCCTGCGCGACGCGAACGGCGACCGGCCCCTCCGCTTCGCTGCCGTCTATTCCGGCTTCTTCGCCACGGACCCGTCGCTGGCTTGGTGCTACGACCCGCCTATCCGCACCCCGACTGTGCACTTTCTCGGGAGCCTGGACACGGTCGTTGAGGAAGGGAGGAGCCGCGCCCTCATAGACCGTTGTGTTGATCCTGTTGTCGTTGTTCATCCTGGGGGCCACTACGTGCCCATCTCGAAAGAGTGGGCCATGGCCTTGGCTGGTTTTGTGAAACAGTATGCGCAGGACGAGACGAAAGCGGCTCTATAGACTCGAATAGATGTGGAGGAGGATAGAGGAGATCGGTGGGGGGACGCGTATTTTCAGCGATGATGGTAACGGATTGGTTTGCAAGGATGGGAAAGATTCGTTGGCGATGAATAAGGGGCGCCGGCACTGAATGGGAATGAATGAGCTGTGTGATGATAGACGCCTAAGCCACATAAACAAGACATATAGACAGACACTAGACGGGATGGGAAATCTGGGCTTTCATAAATGTTACATCGCCCCGTCATCTCCTCTTAAGGGCCATGGTATTTTCTATGTTCTACACCGGACCTGTCCAGAAACAGAAAAAAAAGTCCGAATCACCCTTGCCCTGGCCCCAAGAAAAAAAGCATGCACTCCTCGCTCCAATCACCACTCTCCTTGCGTGTTTTCCTCTCAGCCCTTCACAGCCTTGCCCTTGCCCGACTTGGAGGTCGGTTGGATCCGCGCCATCATCTCCTCTTTGGTGATCAGATGGTCGATGCGCTCCAGCAGGCCCAGGAGACTCTTCATGTTGCCGCTCCACTCGTTGAGCACGTCGTCGGCATCCCTCGGCTTGGCGAAGCTCACGATCCGCGCTGGCCTGTCGATCTTGGCGTACACCGTCTTGGACGTGACCAGGTCGCTGATGTACTTCTCCGTCTCGTCCTCCGCGAGGTCCAGGAGCTGGGTCAGCCGGCCCATCTGGATGCGCGTGTAGTACTTGGCCACCACCCGTACGTTGTGCTCGATCACCCGCTTGCGCAGGTCCTTCCACCGCTGGTGCGCCTTCTCGTCCGCCGACTGGCCCGGCTCGGCGTCGAACACGTCCGTCTGGCACAGGTGCGGGCCGAACTTCTTGGCCACTTCGGGCCATCGCATCAGCTCGTGGATCGTGAAGAGCTTCAGCAGCTCCGCCTCCACGGGTACCTCGCTAATGCGGCTGTCACGCTGGATCCGGTGCAGAAGGTCATGTTGCTCGTTATCGTGGGGGGCAAGAATGACGAAGTAGATGATACGTTGGAGGGTCTGTGATGGGGTGAGAGCCTAAGTCAGCCATAGAAGAGACAAGTAATTGGTAATGGGGAGGGCATAGCAATATCTTGAAAAGGAGGCGGGAAAAGACGAAGAAGAAGAAGAAGAAGAAGAAAAAGGACGATAAAAGAAAAAGCTTACAGCGTGCAACTGGCGAGGGTCCTCCTCCACCGCCTCGGTATCCAGAACCTGCCGGTAGTGTTTGCAGGCGTCAAGGTACTTGTCGTCATGTTTGGCGAGGGTGACCTGCTGTTCGTAATAACGCAGCTTCAAGTCTGTTGTGTCGTCCTCCTTCTCCTCCGGGACCTCCTCGCCGCGGGCCTTCTTCTTCTCGCGCTCCTTCCGCTCCTTCTCCAGGTCCTCGGGCGTCTTCTTGGGTTTCCTCGCCAGGTAGCGGGTGCTGATCTTGCGGCTCAGGATGCCGGCCTGGTTCCAGTCGCCGACCTCGATGCACAGCGCCACCTGCGCCAGGATGAACTCGGTCTTCTCTCTCCGGTCCATGGACCCGAACGTCTCGACCTGCAGCTCGCACAGTATGTCGGCGGCGGCCTTGAGGTCGCCCTGGTCCTTCTTGATGTCGGAGAGCACCTTGGTCACGCGCGCCCGCTCGACTTCGACGAAGATCTTGCCCTCGGTGACCGTCCGTAGCGTCTCGATCGCGGAGAGCTTGGTCTCCAGGTTCGGCGTGCTGTCGAAGAACCCCATGACCACCTGCACCATTTTGGTGATGGCTTGCTTGAGCTGGCCATGCTTCTTCGAGAGCAGGAGCACCTGCTCGTTCATCAAAGACCAGTTTCCGGCATCTTTGCAGAGTGTAACGATGGCGATTAGTAGGCGGGATGTGGTTGCGAGATCTGACGCCTTTGGGATGCCCAAGTCAGCTTTTTGCGAACGACGGAAGGAGAGAGAGAGAGAGAGAGAGAGAGAGAGAGCCTGTCGACGAACCTGGCGGGCCTTCTTTTCAAGGACGGCGAGATGCTCGATGGCAGCCTGGATATCGGTCTGTGAAGATGCGACCAAGTCAGCGGAGGGTAAAGCGATCGCACAGTAGGAGGCAGGTGTGTACCGATGCAAGCTTCTCAGCCTCTGGGATCTGTTTGTCTGCCTCCTTCGAGAAGTCCTTCTCGGGCTTCAGCATTCGTTCCGCCATAGTGTCGTGTCCAAATGCAATGTACAGAGGTGTATGAAGTGACTGGTGCAATCGATTGGGATTGTTGATGATTTGTGCGTCGGATTGGGCGAAGGAGGCGGGGAGGTGACAGGGCTGGCAATGAAGTTGAATGATGTCGAGCTTCTACCAGGCTGGAAGCTCACGCAAGATGCTCGTGCCTACGATGAGTGTACGTACCAGTGAGCGTGAGCTTGGACCCACATCTCAGTTGACGATGGATACCGGTACGTACTTCTGTCTAGGTAGGTACACCTATCCGAAGTTTAGCCCGGAGTGTTGTTTCTCCGATTCCGAAAGCCCAAGTACGTGTATCGCCGCTTAGGTAAGGTACGGAACATGAAGTACACGTAATTGCTGCAGGCGAGGTACAGGTACCTTATTATCTAGCTAGCATCAGTCCGTGAGTTCCTGATCAGCAGCTGCTCTCTTCTCCGGACGTCGCTTGGCTGTTAACGCTGTGAGGCTCTGGGTATTCCCTGAGTTATGAGAGATCTATCTATTCAGGCTCGAGTTTTAAACATTATACTCCCAACGGCGGTCTCGCTTGCTGCAACGTCCGTTCATCCATTTCCAAACGCTCATCTCGGCTTCCTGAGCCAAAGTCTCTCGGAAAATGAAGCCCACATCCCCAACTTGACACCTCAGGTAGTCATCATTGCCCAGTCATGCTGGACCTCGAAGCTTCTCCGTAGTTTCAACCCACTCGCAGCTGCTTCAACCCATAAGCAACTCATCCACCGGGCTTCCGTCAGTATGAAATGAGAGTCCTCGGTCCTGTTCTCGCTTCTCGGTCCTTGTGTCTTAATGGTCGTGAGATCAACCCCCCGTAGAGCCGTTCGATGATGCATTGCCATGGTTTCTCCCTGTTTGGCGAAATGGTGGCTCCGCCTGGGCCTGTGATTCCTTCGCACAGCCTCTCGACCTGGCTCCTCGGCGGTCCAGGAAAGAGTCAACAAGACCTGGCACAGAGGCCAGTAAGACTCCTCACCACGAATGCAGCTTGACAAATGAATCCCGAGAAGCTCCACCGACAATTTGCCGCTTCACCCTCAGATGAAAGATGAGAGAAGCCGGCAGGATTAGATAAGGAACCGGATCGCCATGATGACACAGCCTATGCTGACGTAGGGACTCAAGCGCTCCCCGATCCTCGCGAATTTCCAGACGATACCGAGGGCACTAGCTACGATCAGCACGGGGGGCGTTCTTCCACTCTGTATGACAGCCTACTCACCCATTTTTGTTGGAATCCAGAATCCTGGGGAAAATTTGATGAATGTAGGCGGAAGTGCAGATGGCCAGAAGGATGATGAATACGAGCGACTCAAAGTTGAAAAGGGCCGACTGTGGGATGACTGCGCGTTAGCAAACCCCCCCCAGGATATTCGAGATGGATTTCAGGGCAGAACTACCATATTGTAATACTCTATTCCATGAGCCTTTTACGTGTTTCAAGTTGTTTGCGTCAGGTTGGTGTTTGTTGCCTTGAGGCGAGATGAGAGATGAGAGACAGACCACCTGGAACATTTGGGTACAACGAGCTGCCGAGTTGAGGTCTGTTGCCAGCTGGTCTGTCTGTTTACTGTGGGTACGACCCAGTACGCTGCGATTTGCATCACGTGATTAGGCCCGACTGTCGGCGCTATATTGTCCGAATCTCCGACGGCAGCCCCGTACTGGTCTTCTCGGTCAGCCCCTTTTATTATTAACAACACAGAGTTTCTGGCTGTGTACACGACAGCCACAGACGCCATGAGCTCCCCCAGGGCGCTACACCAAAAGAGTCCATGATAGGTCTGGACGTTATGACATCAGGATCTCAGGATCACATTTCTCTTCAGATTCACAAAATGGCAGACATCCGGTCATTGACAGATCAAACATCAAGCAATAATGCTTTAACTGGCATTTTGGGACTACCAATTACCTAGTACCCTCGAAACTTTTTCTATCAATCTGCGTCATTCTCCTTCTCCATACTCGAATTACCATTCCCCAGCTTTCCCTTAATAGTCCTAGTCAAATCAACGCGCCCTTTACTCCTACCTAGTACGCCCTCCTCCACGGGTGGAACGAACAAATTGCCCAGTACCCTGTCTTCACAACTCCAGGTCGACATCCGAGAAACAAACGACCAATGGTCCCAATGGCTAGCCGCAGGCATACTTCGACGTCGGGGTCCTAAAGTCTGTCCTGGAGAGGCCAAATACCCTAGGTACCGGTGCCGGCGCCGGTGCCAGCATCAGTGTCAGTGCCGCCGTTATTCTTGGTGCCGGTACCAGTGTCCGCACCCTGGTTGCCAGTGCCAGTGCCGGCGCCGGTGTCTGTACCCTGTTTGCCAGTGCCGGAGCCAGAACCGGAGTCAGTGCCGCGGTTATTCTTGGTGCCGGAGTCAGCATCGGAGTTAGTGCCGCCGTTATTCTTGGTGCCGCTACCGGTGTCGACGTTCGTGTTACCGGTGCCCGTTCCGGTGCCGCCGTCATTCTTGGGATCCTCTTTGTCCTGGCGAGTGGAAAAGGGGACCCCGATCAGCTGGCTAGCATACCACTCGGCCGACTTGCGCATCGTAAGCCATGGCTCGGGTACGACGTAAAGATGCTTCTCCTTGCCCCCGTTCTTTTCCTTCTTGTCGTCGGCTTTCGCCCCGTCTTCGTTCCTCCCCGGAGCCTCGTCTTCCTTCGTTCCCTTCGACTCGGCCTGCCCTTCCCGTCTCGCCCGCATATATCTCCCAGTCGGCGAAGGTTGAGCTATCTGGGTTGGATCCCCCTCAGGTTCCGGCGTAGGTTGGCTTGGCCCTTTCGTCGGCGGCATGGCCACCGCCTTATGCCATGGGAATTTAAGGAAATACTTATTATTCGGCTTTCCTCTCGGCTTGGAAGCTATATTGCACTTCATCCGGACGTTTTTTATGTCCTTTTTCTCATCCTTCTTCTCGTCCTTCTTTACAATCGTTGGATATTGATCCGATGAAGTTGGAGCCGGCGGAGGCTGGGCTGACTCGTCCACTGGCATTGTCACGATGATCTCCCTTTTCGAGCACGACTTGGACGGCACAGCAGTTGCCTTGAAGGTACCAGTAATGGATACTGTTGCGCAGTCGGCCACCGTCTTCGTCGCGGTGGTGTACTTGAGCTTCGTCTTGGTAGCGGACTTGGTCTTGGTCTCGGTCTTGGTGACGGCGGGCGGCGTCTTGGTCTTGGTCACGATCTTCGTCTTGGTCTTGGTCTCGATCGTCGTCGTCGTCTTCTTGCGCACGGGGTGGGTGGTGCATGGAGGCTTGGTATACGTCGGCTTGGGTGTGGTATACGTCGGCTTGGGTGTGGTATACGTCGGCTTGGGTGTGGTATACGTCGGCTTGGGTGTGGTATACGTC